AGATTAAACTCTGTAGGAAACCATAAAATTGAAATCTTTTGAAAAAGCAGGAGTTGGATGCACAACAGGAGACTCAGGCAGAAGTTCAAACGGGGAAAGTTTCAGCCCTTCCTTGATGAGGAAAAAGACCAGAAACAACTGGTAGTTAAGTAAAGCACACTAGGAAAGACAAGAAAGACAAAAAAGACATCGGTTGACCAGGCCAGTCTAGAATTGTGCAACCAAAACTGAAACTGCAGCTTTGAAATCATGTGGAAGAAGCAGAGGCATCAGATTATAGAATAAATAAAAAGGCCTTGAGAAGAGAAAAAAGATAAACAGCGTCAGTGTTTTACAAAAACACAGCACTAGAAGGCCATATACTACCATCCACAAGGTCATCAAGAAATAACACAAGAAACAATGCTGGAGACAGATACCAGGAACTTCCCAACAGAGATGTTGCAGAAAAGTACCTTAAACACACTAAGGACTTCTGCCAATGAGGGCTAAATTTCCCTCCTTTAGAACCATCCAGCTGAGGATCTTTCTCTTAAAACCACCAGGAGCCAATTGCATGAAAAGGGTCAGAACTGGGGAACTGGAACAATAACCAGAAGGAATTCCATCACACTCACACATTTCTGCCAAGCACAGCAGGTAGAACAAGCACAGTGAATGGTGACAGACACAACAGCCTCAGCTTTGGGGCTGCAGCAGTCACTGTAACACTCCATTAAAACACCCAGGGCTCCTTCCCCAGTGGCAGGAAACTGCTAAGCTGCTAACCTGAACTGTCAGGGTCCGGCAGTGAGGATTTTGGTAGCCTCTGCCTTGGAGAGATGCTCAGAGCAAGGTTTACTCACTGAGGGTAGCACAGCAGCAAAGCTGGCTTGTGCTGCTGACTGCAAAGGTCGTGGCAGCTGTGGTGTCAAACCAGAGATTTATACCAAAGGAGAAAAACACCTCTAGTTAGGACACTCTGGATTTATAATCTGAAAATAGAAATAGAAAACTGGAATTACACCCATAATGATAAATCTCTCAGTTTCCCAGAATCTGGAAGACTGAGAACATCTAAGCACATCCAGGCAGGACTTCTGAGGATGGCGCTTTTCCCAGTAGTCCTGTGTCAACATAAGGAATTTGTGTCTTTGAATTCAGATGTCTCTGAAGGACTACACAGATACCAAAAACAAATGAAAAACCAAGTGGATAGCACTTACAATGCCACTAGAGAAGAAGAAGAAGCTGAAGTAATTGAGTCCCATGAGCCTGTGTAAGCAACAAGATGGAAATTGGCTTGGTTTGTCCATGTAACCAGAACAATGGAATTAGCAAACACAATTCTGTGGGGAAAAAATTGGAGAGGAAAGGAAGGCAGAATGCTCAGGGACAGTGTGACTCAAAGACATCTGCATCTGGATGGAGAAATGATGAGGAGAGCCAAAGAGTAAAGGGAACATGAATTCAGATTGGAGTCAGTGCCTAAAGATGACATTCTTCAGACCATGCTGGTGTTTGGAAGAGGAAGATGGGACAATCATAAATGTGTATAACAGTGCATAACCTGACCATGTTCTGTTCATTTATTGAGTTGCCAAAGGACACAAAAACAGAGTATAGTCCCCAAGGAACCACTAATTCATGTTGGTATTGCTTCTGTCACCATAAGAAAAATTCAATTAATTCTTATCTCTTTGTTTCAGACTACTCAAAATTGCCCACTGATCTACACATTTCCCCTTTTATTTCCTGAAGGTGACATTTTTCAATGGGCTTCTAAATATCAGGTAAAACTCGATATGCCGTGGCAATATGTTTGGCTCACAGAACCCATCCTATTTTTCTCTTGCTTTTGATCATGTCCTTGACATTCAGGCACTGTTATGGTGAGATGTAGATATTTCCTTGCTCTTAAGGTGCCTTGGATCTAGTTTTACAAGCCCCAGAAAGGTGAATTTTTTCTCTGCACTTCTCATCAGGATTACAGCAGTGTGGCAGATGTCTGCTTGTAGATTCTGCTAAAGTCATGAGTTCCTATAAATGGCAGCATCACGATCCCTCCCTGAGCAGCAGTTCTCATGTCAGTGAAATATCCCCAGCTACCCACAACACACCCACAGCCAGAGAAAATCACCTCTTCCTGATTGTCTTCTCAGAGCGGAGTGCCTTGAAGGCAGCAATGGCTCTGGGGGGCAGAAATATTGTCCCCAACAGTCAGCAGAGCCCTTTTAGCTGTTCAAGATTGCTATTTTCTGCATCTTTCCAAGAATTAGAAACATGCAGCAGGATGCACATAATGGTCTCCACAGGTGAATGGCAACCATTCCCACAAGACAGGCTCCTGTATCAAACCCATCATCTGCCATCCCAAAGAAAAGTTCTGCTTATCAGTGACATCTGCTGGTGTCAGCAGGTGTCTAGAAAAAAAACAGATGAAGAGAAAAGTGTTACATTTTCTCCCAAGGAAGATGCTCCCCTCAGGAGCTTGCAAGGCAGAATTTCCCCATGGGGGCTGTGCTGGGAGCAGATCCAAGTAGCCATGGCAACCCTGTGCAGGCTGCTTGACACGGCCCCTGCTCAGAATAAATTCTGGGCCGAGCATTGGTCCTCATGGTGCTGGTACCAAGAGTAATGACACATCTAAAGCAGTATTCTTACTATTCTTCCATCTGTTCTTACTTGTTTGCAGGCTGCCCAGAAATGTCCCAGGAGAGCTGTGGGTCTCTGTATGATGAATTCCAGCCTGCTGAGAAATATGCTTGGTTTTGTTACCTTCTGTGACCTCCCAGAGCAGGGACAGTCCTATTTATATATACCACCTGCTGAAAACTTCTGTCCTTGAGCTTCAGCAGCTTTTTGTACCTAGTCTTCCTTAGCAGTATAATTCCTGGTGATTTGTGGTGTTTTATGCAATTTAACTGTATATGTGAGGAGAAGTAGCTATGCAGTGGCAAGGCACTTATATGTGGAAACTCCTGACACAGAGGCACTCAGACTAATATTTCTTTGCCTGACATTCAAGCTCCCTAGTGGCAGAGCTTCCTGGCACAGAAACAATCAATAGTCCCAATCCAAGCAATTTGCTCATATATGTGAGCATGTACAGGTGCAGCCTGGTCAGTTATGGATACCTGCAACTCAGAATGCCAAAGTGAGCATGTAGTTCTTGACAGAAAAAAAAAAAAACAAACCTCCCTTAAAACCATCATCTGTACAAAGGGCTTTATTTTATAGCTGGATATTCGAGCAAATTCAGACTCTTGGGTTTTGGTTCATTTTCCAGAGCAGGACTGGGTTTTGTCTTTATTTTTGTTTCCTGTGTCAGAACTGCAAAGCAGATGGGTTTCAAACTACAGAAATTATTCATGGTAGATGTTTAATGAAAATCCCTGACTGAAATATGATTCTTACTATGGAAAAAGAAAAAACTTGCCAAACATGATTTTTCCAGTTGTGAGAGAAGAGTGAGGGAAAGGGATTGTTTTGCTTGAAGTACATTTTAAATTGCACATTGCAGTCTGGTATGGGCGCAGACACTGAGGTTAAACTGTTCCTGCTGATCCAACATAAGCTGATGCTAGGAATGACTGTTGAGAATTACATGGTCTTTGTCTCTAAAAAAAAATGCCTACATTGGAGTATTCAGCCCAAAATAACAACCTGCTGGGCCTGGGCTAGAACAAAGGGAGAAGTAAAAGGAGGAAATGCCTGGTTTGGGGAATGAGATATGAACCTGAACAAGAGACAATCTTGAGCATTTCCTTGCAGGGGGATTGTCTGCTGGCTGGAAAACAAGAGCCAGGGCACAGAGGTGAGGGAGAGGAGACCAGGGGGATGTGTCCTTCCTGCAGGTGCTGGAGGCTCTTTGCAGGAGACCAAGCACCAGGCAGGGCAGGGGGCTCACAGGGCTGTGAGTCACGGCTGGCTGAGGAAGCTGAGTCACAACAGCTGAGCTTTGAGTCCCCAGCTCTGACCTGTGGCCTGGGACAGTGTGAAGAAGATGCACAGTGCCTGTGGGCAGTGCCATGGGGGTGGGAGCTGGTGCTGCTCCCCAGGGACTCCTGGCAGGCTCCTGGAGCAGCTCTGGAGTGCGGCTTTGAGATGGTTCTTTCCCTTCAGTAAGTGGGCATTCCTGAGAATCCACTGCTGATTTCCTCACCCTTGTCAATGTTTGTAGTGGGGCCGTGTTGTGTGCAAACAGGCATAGAGTTTGTGAGGCTGTAAGGCTGAAGCAGGGATGGACACATCTCTCCTGCAGATCCAAGTCTTTCTGCCTCGGGTTATCAGTCAGTGAAACTTTCTCCACTGGTCGGTGAGTTTTCTCCAGTTTAAAAGCCAAAAGCTCTGTAGTAACATGAGATTTGGGCTACACAATGACCAAATGCATGTCTTTATAAAGAAGGTCATCTTAAAGAACTCTGCAATATGGTGGATGGTATTTTGCCACTTAAAGGGGAGTGCAGTCACTGAATAACACCATGGGAGGGAGAAAACGGAAGAGATACAAATAAGCTGTGCTCACACTGCCTGTGTGACCCAGGTCAGAGCCCACACACACAGTAATGAAACAGCCATTTCTATTTTTTGTTTCTTCAAAGCACTTTGTCCATCCAGACCAAAGCAGATTCCAGCATGGAGAGTCACAAGGTCAGCCCTGTATGTATTGCAGATATGCACATCCTTGGAGACAGATGGGCTTGTAAGGATCCCTTTGGAAGTGAGCTGGGAGGTTTCTTTCTTCCCATTGTTTCTGTTAGTGTCAAACACTTGGACATTTTGAGCTAACTTTTCAGAAAGCCAGGCTGAGATATTTCTTCTCTAGTGTCTCCCTGAAGAATCACGCTGCATTTGGCCACCTGAAGCCAGTTCTTTATGCTTCATCATATTAGTCCATGCAATTACTGGACTGTCACAGAACACAAGATGTGCCAGGCAAACCTACCTGTTTTTTGGGTTTTTTTAATCATATAGCTCAAAGAAATCAGCTGCTGACTGTCTTTTCTGTTTTTCACCAG